AAAGGGCACTGGGCTTGTAACCAGAGGAACCTGGGCCCAAATCTTAGCTCTAAAATAATGGGAAAGTTATATGATTCCCCTAAGACTCAGTTCATCATTTGTAAAATGGACATAATAAAACTTAACTTAACTAAGAACACTGGCCAAGAGTCCTGGGCTTTGTCTTTATATTCTGTCTGTAGATATACCCTCAGAGTGGAAGATAGGCTGATGCCCTCATTAGGACTATTGGCAACAGCTGCTGTCTCCCTGCCCCCAATAGTCTGACTGCCTTGCCTCACTGATTTTGATAACAATACTGTATTATTGTCTTCATGTTGACACAATTAGGTTTTGTAAAGAAAAATATGACAAACGAGTGAATAGCAGTAATCATAATTATGTTGCAAGCATACTTTAAAATGTACCTAGACAAATCCACAAATGTCTCAGCAAAGTGCTAAAATTTGCTCAGGCACATGTAAAACTGACCATCTAGATTTAGGCAAAATCTCAATTAAACCAAAAAGCATTCAAATTGGCATGAAAATCTAGATGCAATGGAGAAATGATTTTTTAAAAATGTATGAAACATTCTCCAAGAATTTCTCTATTTCAAGAACTGGAAACGTGACAAATTATTCCAGTGGCAATCAGTTTTTAAAAAGTCTAAATCTTTGCCAATCCGCTTACTCTTTTCAAGGAATAAAAAAAGGAAAAATCAGCAACTGTGGAAATAAATGAAGGTTTGCCTAAAATGACATCTCTGTAAAAGCATCAGAGTTGACATTATTGTCAGTTACCTGCCATAGAAGGATGCACAAGCAAACCTCTATTAGGCTAAGAAGATTTGGGCAAGGGAGCAACTCTTGATTTACCACAGTCCAGTTCAAAAGTCACTCTGGCAATTTAATGTAATTTATTATAATTTTATGGTTTCCTTGTAACAGTACTGGGATCTACTTAACATGAACAGGCATATCTAGAAGTGACCAAATATATCTAGATTTTCCCATAATGTCTATCTTTTTAAAAGTACCATATCAGTAATTGGTCAGTGGTTTTGGTTGTTTTAATTGGAGAGGGGAGGAGAGTCCAGATCTGTTTTCACCGGTGTGTGGAACTCCCAATGTGGACAACTCTCTCCACCAATGCAAATCAGCAACTCTTCCAAATCTTGTAATCTTAGGGCTTTGTCTGGAATGCTGAGAAGTTAAGGGACTTGGCCATCATCACACAGTGTATATGAAAGGCATGATTTGAAACCAGGTATTCCTGATTCCAAGGTTGACTCTCTACTTCACTCCTTTGTTTCTAGTTAATTAATGACCAAAATTTAGATCAACCCTTCAGAGAAAGAGAGTGATTGCAGAGAAACATGTTCAACACAGAAATGAGTGATTTAGATTTAAGTCACCAATGTGGTACAGAGCCCTGGATTGGCAGTAAATAGACCCACATCAAGTCCTGTCTCTGTCACTAACTGGTTGTGGGACTTTATTTAACAGAATCACAGAATTTGAGATTTGGAAAGGACCTTGAGCTATTAAGTCTAACCAATTCATGAAAGGAATCCCTACTAACCAGTGGTGAGATATGTTATAATTTCTCTGAGCCTCAGTTTCTTTAGCTGTAAAATGATGGATCACAGACCATACATATGAGTCAACTAGGTGGCTCAGTGGATAGAGTGCAGGGCCTGGAGTCTGAAAGACTCATCTTCCTGAGTTCAAATCTGGGCTCAGACACTTACGAGTGGTGTGACCATGGGTAAGTCACTTCACCCTGCTTGCCTCAGTTTCCTCATGTGTAAAGTGAGCTGGAGGAGGAAATGGCAAACCACTGTAGTATCTTTGCTAAGAAAAAACCCAAATGAGGTCATGAAGAGTTGGACATGCCTGAAAAATGACTTAACAACAACAAAAGACTATGCATTTAGAACTAGAAGGGACCCCTGTGGCCATCTAATCCAACTTCTTCATCTTACAGTTGAGTAAACTGAGGCCTAGGAAGTAGGGGGCTGAACTACATGAACATCAAGGCCCTGTCCAAATAGAAATGATTGAGCAATGATTCTGTCAAATCCTTTAGTTGATTTAATTTCCTTTTCTGTTATAATGATTGAGTGCTGCTGGTCAACAGACTAAATTACTAAGCATTTGATGCAATCTTGTACTCAATGCAGTGGGGAAAAAGTAGACCTGATATGTCACCACTTGGCTACTTGGGTGGATTTAACAAAAGAATTAAATTGACCACCTGGCAAAGCAATTGCTCATTCAGCAATAAGCCTCCACCACTGGCTATGTTTCTCTCTCTGTCCCCCCGCCTTCCTCGCCCCACAAGCCACAGCCTAGCACATGTCTGAGGTGTCTTTAGGGAGAGTTTTCTAGGCTGCCCTTCAGTTAGGTTTCCACTGACCTTTATCTTTAGCTCCTCTTCTAGCTTCCGGTAGACAATATCAAAGAAGGGTAAAATGTTTAGGTTAGATAGAAGGAAATGATTGACTTTTGAAGACCCAACTCAATTCAATTCATTTACACAGAGCTCAGTCAGGAGACTTGACTGAAATCCAGTCTTCAATGTTTAATAGCCACGTGACCTTGTGCAACTAACTTCACTTATCTGAGCCTCAGTTTCCTTATATGCAAAACAACACAATAATACTTGCATCATTTATCTTATGATTTTGTTATGAAAGGGCTTATAAACTGTAAAGTACCATATAAATATAGATCTCTCCTGATAATGAGTATATACTATGTGCAATATAAATAATTACTTTGTTATTTCTTTTGTATCAGGAGTGCCTGGGTAATTAATGGGTAATTAATAAATGCTTGCTGAATTTAATTGCTAAATTGCAAGGTGTTATGTAAGGCACTGGGAATGTACAGGCTAGGTGGCGTAGTGGATAGAGTGCTGGCCTTGGAGTCAGGAGGAGCTGAGTTCAAATTTGGCCTCAAACATTTGATGACATTACCTGCCTATGTGACCCCGGACGAGTCACTTAACCCTGATTGCCTCACCAAAATAAAAAAAAAGAATTACTAAAGGATTTGCTAGCATATTTTTCTCCCCTTTTCCTTATATTTTCTAAAATGCTGGGGGAAAGGGAAAGGGGAAGAGTTGAGTCCTGGCTTACTACTAATTAACTTGTAATGCTGAGTAGAAAAGCTGTCCCTGTCAGTGTGTTTGAGATAGAGGAGGAGTAGGAGAGAGTACAAAGGAATTTATAATTGATTGATTGTATTTATACATATTTCCTTTCTTTTCAAGTTTTAGATTTAAGGGCATAAATACTTTTTTGGTCTAAGGAAGGAAGAACTAGATCTGAAGACACTGTTTATTAATTTTATGTTTATGCTTTATGAGCTTTTATGTGTACTTGTTATTTTCCCTATTGGGATATAAGCTCCTTGGGGGTGGGGATTGTTTCATTCTTTGTTCTTTATCGCCAGCTCAGCCCTAGTACACATAGTAGGTACTAATAAATGCTTGTCAGTTGGTTGATTGATTGGTCCTTCCACAGGAAGGTCTGAGGTTTATTCTGCTCTTCAGTCAAGTCTATCCAGCAGTACTTGCCACAATTTACTACCTCTAAGTGCTGAAGAGACAGCTTTGGGGAGGTGGGAGACCCGTAAAAAGTAGGAAGGCAGCAGGCAGGAATATGGTACCACACTTCTACTTATTCCCTTCCTTAGCCAGTATCTAACACTCAGGGGTTGTTTTCTACTTCTTAACCCTTGGTGGTCATTCTTTAGGACAAGCGGCATTCTACTTTGTGTCAAACGTTGTCTCTAAGGAAAACATTCTGTTTCTAACTGTGAGACTGATTGATATTTTAAAGCCTCTGAGGAGGTTGTACTGGCAGCTGTGGTTGCTGTTTCCAAACTTAAATGAAAAAGTAGAAGCAGTTATCCTAGGAAAATATTTCCCCCAAAATTTCCTCCCCCCAAGTCGTAAAGAAAGAAGTTGGGTGGGAAGGTGAGTAAAAACTATATAATCATAATAAGTTTAACTCACCCTTTCTTTGCAATATCCCTTAGGAGTAAGTAGTGTAGTACAAATATTATTATCTCTGTTATAGATGAAGAAGAGGGGTAGTATAGTGTAGTGGATAGAAAGTTGGCCTTGATGCTTGGAAGACCTGGGTTCAAGTCTGTTTCTGACATATACTAGCTGTGTGACCCTGGGCAAGTCACTTACTGTCTTAGTAAGCCAGGTACCTCTCTAAGACTATAAGTTGTAGAACAGTTGCTTATCTAAATTGGTAGAGGGCTTTGTTTTCTCACTAGAAGTGCCCTATACCAACGAAATCACGTCTGGACAAAAATAGGACATGTGAGAAACTTCTGCCTTTCAAAAGAGAAATGACTTACCCAAGGTCATACAACTAGGTATCTATGATACTAGACTAGTGTCTAGTATCTAGCTGGGACTCAAATTCAAGTGTTATTGCTCTAAGTTGTGTTTTTTCCTCTTTATCACTCTTTTACTGCCCCCTTTGAGCAATTATGACAAAAACTGGGTGTCCCAAAAGTCTTGGAGTATTTCTTTCCTGTTGTTAAAAAAAAAGGGTGGGGAAAGGGTTAAAACAGCATTAAGACTTTTGGGACACCATGCATTTGGCAATACATAAATGGTTTAATTATCGACGAACAGAAGATATTCAGTTCAAACTTACTGAGCCGAATATTTCTAGGTAATAAATTTGCCAATTGATTTTGAGCAGTTTTGAGGTACTGGAGGTTTGCCACAGAGTTATATAGCTGGAATAAGGTAGCAAGAAGCCTCTAACCCGATGAAGTATCATTCTAGGGAATAGTATTCTGAATAAACCAAACTGCCATTTTCAAAGGTAAAACCCACCATGATCAGATTTTCTCTGTAGTTCCATGTGGCTCATTTCATTTGATGTCTTTTTGTATCTGAAGCCTATATAGAAATGCAGTTTTCTTTCATAAAAAAAGGTGAGCACAAAGATTACAGACTAGAAAGAGTAGATATCCAAATCCTACCTTGAAACTGGGTAAATTTGATGGTTCCCATTCTCTCCCCATTTCTGAACACAACTTGACCCTAAAAAAACAAACAAACAAAAAAGCAATTCCTTATAAGATCAGGTACTACTAAGTTGAGATGAAATTCATTTATGATCATTAGTTAAGGAAAACATACTCTTTAGGTCATGGCTTTATTAGTTTTTAAAAATGAACAAATTATAACACGGTTGTGGCTCTTACAGGTTAGGTTTTGTAGTAGGCAATCAATACTCTGATACTTTGGTAACAAATTTAAATATATGCTTAATAACCTGTGTGACCTATGCCCCCACATGAATTTTGTGGCCTTTCGGCACTTCACAGTTGTCTCTCAAAACCAGAAAGTGTATCTGGGTTATTCCAAAAGTTGTAATAGCTTAGAACTTCACTAAGACTTTTGGGATGCCATGAATTTCGGCGTACCTACCACATATCTCTGCCTCCTGGCTTTCCTGGCTTCCTTCAAGTCCTAGCTAAAATCCCTCCCTCTATAGGAAGCCTTTATTATCTCCAATTTATCTGTATATAACTTTTTGTACCTATTAACTGTTTGTACCTAGTTGTTCAAATGTTGTCTTTTCACATTAAACCGAGTGCCTTCAGAGTAGGGAATATCTTTTACTTTTTTCTTCATCTCCTCAGTGCTTAGCACAGTGTCTGGCACATAGTAGGAGTTTGATAAACACTTATTAACTGACTCATATGCCTCTTGACTGAGTTTTTGTATTCTTTTGGTTCTAAACATTGATTTCATTGGTATAGAGAACTCCTGGTGAGCAAACTCCCTCCACCAACAAAGATCAGGTCATATTGCTAGTGTGTGTCAGATGTGAAACTTGAACCAAAAATATTATCTGTGCTATGCTACTCTCTCTATATAAAAACCAATTAATGGTACTATTTCTTTCTGGAGGGAACTAGGAAATAACTTTCCTCCCTAAGCCCCAAGTAGCATCTAAAACTTGATTCCATGAATTCTCTGGAATATTAGAGGGCACCTGGACAGTATTCAGCAAGACAAAAAAACAAAGCAAAACAAAACAAAACTCTCTAGAGATACTTTGACATCTTTTTAACATGAAAATGACAACTGAAGATGTTTATCAGTTTAGAATTCACACCTCAATTCTCTATGAAAGAAATGAGATGAAAACACCCTAAGAGGATGAAGGTAAACTGAAATAATGTATAATGTGGAAAGGCAGAGAAACAATCTTGTTTTTTATTCCTTGCTACAATGTCCTCAAGGGACTATGGAAATACACAACCTCTTTAAAAGTGCTATTTAATTTTATGTAAATGGACCACTTTGAGGCATAAAAATATGGCCCCAGAACAGAGCTGAGAGCTTGCAAAAACCTTGAGAGGCAGAGACCTAACTAATTTAATAATATCATCCTTCTTGAAAATATGCCAGTCTTCTATACCAAAAACATTTGTAGACATTGCCAGTGTTTGTATTAAAATGTTTTTTTTAAATATTGAGTTTGAAAGAGCTGATGTTTTTGGGGCCTTCCCTCTACCTCACTTGTCAAAGGTGAAAAACTCCTTTGTTCTTACTGGAAAATGAAGTGTCATATCTTATTTTATAGAACAAAAGGTTATTGTTTAAGTAATTATGTTCCTACTTATATAACTTTAGGAAACTACTTTTAAAAAGTTGTAAAAGAAACCATGGTGCTGCGTTATTGCAATTACTGACAACAAATGGCTAACTGAATCAAAGTTGGATTACTCCAATGAAAATAGATGTTCAATTTTCACATAATCCGCCAGGCAAAGAGCCAGAATGGTAGGCCTTCATCTTGGGTGGCTTTTCTGTAGAGAATAACAGTTCCAGATTGCTTAAATTCCACCTGAAAAAAGGCTGGCAATTAAATTGACCATGGTACACGCCTGTGAAAAATAAAATTGTTGCATCTGAGTTAACTGAAAGAGTGAGTTTGGAAAGTCGTATGACATCACTGGGTAACAGGTTATATTGAGAATGCAAGGAACAAAAGCAGGGACAACCAATAACATCACTGGATTTTACTATGAAAACTGCAGGAAAACAACATTTTCATTCATTTTTATAAGAATTCTAAAGAAATCAGCTTAAGTTTCCAAGAAAGCAACATTTTGAGGTATCCTCAAAAATGCCCTCTTTATTATAATTAATTATGGCTAAGGGAATCCAAACAGGTCAGTGGCCTTGGTCCCCCATTACTTCTGAGAGTCCATGAATAAAACGCTAATTTCTAAAGAGAAAACTCTGTGGAAGCACTTTATTTTATATCAGTAAGTAATGGTTGAGAGATAAACTATACTTTTCATTTATAACTTTTTAATTTAGTGATCCCTCAAATTCTTGGAGTTTTGAAACTGGCTACAATTTAACATGAGGAGATAAATACAATTTCACAGTTAACATCAAGACTTGGTAAAAATGAGGCTCATGATAGGTCTAATAGAAGGAGAGGGAGATTATCACATCTCTGTCTGCTTATAGAAGATTCTTTATAGAAATATATAGAAATCTTTATAGAAATCTATAGAACCTTAATAGAAAATTCAAGAACCTGAGTGTATAAATACAGTAGAGAATGTGGGTGAAAAGGAGAGAGACAGAATTACTGCTTTTTTAAAAAAAAAACTACAACAACAAGAATTTAATAAACATCTACTATATGCTAGGAACTGTATTAAGTTCTTTATAACTGTCTTCTTATTTTTATTTCACAACAACCTTGGGGAGTTGGGAGTACACTATTTATAGCCTGGCCAGCCAGAGGATATAGATGATAATTTCTGAATATAGATTACAAAATGAAACAAAATCAAGATCTAGTAGTTCTAACCTTGTGAACATCTGTTAGAATAATACCAATTCTTGACTTGCTGTCCTTTTTTTTTAATAAAACAACAACAGGGGTCTGTTTTGCCATAAAAATATTGCTTCTGATTGATTCTCTGTTGATTCTTACCCAAATGATCTCTACTATCATTTCTCTCTTTGGGTCCCTAGATTTCCAGAAATAAAGAAGGACTTAAATGGATATGTGATCTCATCAATGTGAGCACCTCCTCCAACATATTGAATTTCAACCAAGTGCACATTATCCTCAAAAGCTTGAGGAGGTAGTAAGGGAAATTGTTCCTCTGGACTAATTTTAATCAATGAATAACTATTTGATGATACAGAATTGATTGGACTCTTAGAAGAAGATGACCATGTCACCTTGGAATTTGGAAGGGAGAAGGCATGTAAACCTTAGGCATAGCTAAACATATTCCCTAGACTTTAGGAAACAATTATTTCCAAAGTTCAGAGAGAAGACAGGCGTCATTCCATGATGATATATTCTAAAAGAGAACACAGCTCAAAAGGGACGGAGGGTCTAAAAACTGAAATTCTAACAATATAATCACAGATGATCCCAATTATAAAGAAAAAAAGGAGAAGACCTTAAAAGAAACCACAGGAGCTCTCTACAAAGGAACAACTATAAAAGACAGAAGCAGAGACACAGAACCAAGGAGAGATACAAAAGTATGGCACAGGTCTTTAAAAGCAGTCTCAGGAAGACTAAAGCCCAGAATGAGCAGAGGTTTGGAAAAATATTAGACAGTAGAAAGACTTTATAACATGTTATCACCCAGGATCACCCCTTCACCTCTTTCAGGCCATGAATGGTATTTTGTTTCTTCAAGCAACAAGCAACCCTCCCTCCTTTCCCAACAAATGGGGTGGCAGGTATAGACATTACCAGGGTGAAGGATTCACTAATCAATCAATTAACAAGCATTTATTAAAGTACTTACTATGTGCCAAGGCAAAAAACAATCCTTGCCCTCAAGGCACTTACATTCTAAGAGGGGAAGCCAACACTAATAGATACAGAAAGTATAGATAGTTAGTGGGTTTCTCAGGAGGGTAAGGACATCCTTGAAAATGGCTGATCAAAAGTTCCAAGTTACAAAGAAGAGCCAGAAAAGGGATGATAAACTGGGAGAACAAGGAGGAGAATGGAGGACCAGGTTGTAATGAGGATGAAGAAAAATTTCAGGAGTGAGAGCATTTGAGAGTCATGCCATTTGGAGAGGTACCATGATGGATAACAAGAAACAGCAACATTGGATTTGGAGTTTGAAGACCTGGGTTTGAATCCTGACTGCTACTTACTATCCTGCATGACATTGATAAAGTCAGTATTCCTGGATCTCAGTTTCCTCATCTGTAAAATAAAGGAGGCTGGCCTAGAAGTTATTTTGCTATAGTAGAAAAAGCACTGGTTTTGAAATTCAAAGACCTGGTTTCAAATTCTGACTTTGCTGTTTAACCTTGGCCAAGTTATTTCACTGCTCTATGAAATGGCTCTGAGTTACCTCGTTTGTAAAATGAGGGGTGTTGGTCTAGGGCCTATACATTCCTTATGAGCCCTAAATTTGTGATTTTTAAAGTCTCTCTGAATCTTAAAGATTCATTCATTTTTAATTAATTTTTTAAAAAAAATTTATACAGTACTATTGTGCTGCATTGTGCTAAGCACCTTATAATTATTATCTCATTTGATCCTCACAACAATCCTAGAGATGCTACTTTATATTCATTTTAGAGATGAGAAAACTGAGGTAAACAGAGATTAAGTTACTTACCCAGGGTTACATAGCTAGTAAGTGTCTGAGGCTGGATTTGAACTCAGGTCTTCCTGACTCTAAGCTCAAAGGTCTGGCTTGTTGTTGTTCTTGTTGTTTATCCTTTGTTTTTGAAGAGAATCATGACATCAGGGAGGTGATGCCATGACATGCAAGTGAATTAAATTTAAGTGAGGGAGGGCTGTGCAAAGTCACCAGCCTCACTTTCTCCTCCGGAGTCATCTGGGTCCAGTGACAAGATATAGATCAGGACGACTGGAGATGGCTCAGCACCTGGTTTGTCTGACGACTAAGCCAAACCTTTCATTTGATCCATTGTTTCCAAAGAACTATAGGATTTCCTGCCTTCAAAGGATGTTAGAGATATTCCAAAGGAACTTTATTGTCAATGAGTAGCAA